GCATCAGGAAGGCAGATCTGCTGCCTAGAGGTCAGGGCTGCGGGACAGGGACACAGGGCAGAGCTGGGCTAGAGCACCAAGACATGGAGCTCTGGGGATTCCCAGTGCCAGGCTGGGGCAGGTCATGACAGGCATCCCAGGAGCTGGGACAGCACTAGCAGGGCAGGACTAGATCTGACTTGGTCCAGTGGGCACAGGAGAGCCATGAGACAGAGGGGCACAACTGCCGCAGGGCACAGCTGGGATTTGCAGTACAGGGTCTCTGTGGCAGGGCAGCTCTTGGTGTGGTGGGGAAGCTTCTGTCCCACTTAGGGTGCTGCCAGGAGGGCGATGGGCAGCTGGAAGTGCTGACTCGGTGGCTGGCTGAGCTCAGTGTCCCACCCATGCTGCCATCAATCAATGGAGCCACTCAACTGAGAAATTAACTCCAGCCCGCACACATCCCTCGTGCACCGAAGGTTGCGGGCAGCTGTGCGGAGGGCTCAGGGCACTGCTGCCAGTGGGGCTCACCAGAGAAGGCATTGTTGGTGTTGAGAAAGTAGATCTCCTCGCGGCCATCCCCGTCGATGTCACAGGCTGTCACACCAATGGCGTTGCCCTGCCGGTCCCGCAGTGCATAGTACGGAGAGCCCCGCTCATCCTCTGCCACATTCACCAGCCTCCCCTGCACCTTGTCATACTTGAGCACCAGGTTGGGGCCATTGTACCTGTGAGTGTGAGCAGGGGTGATGGCTTCCCAAGGCTTGGGGACAGGATGAAAACCCCTGGGTGGGGGACAGCAGGGGTGACTCTGGATTTTCTCCATGATGGGCACCTGCATGGTCCATGGAGGCCAGGGACCCTTGTCAGGCATCCCATGTCTACCTTGCCTGGGTACTACAGGGCAATGCCAGGGCAGCAGTGGGGGCCAGACAGCCAGTAGGGCACAATGGGGTGCAGGTGCTTGTAATGCTTTCCCAGGACAGGAAAACCAGCACACAAGGCAAATCCTCTCAGCACAGTGCATCCCACTGGCTCTCCGCCCGCTCCTGCTCGACACACCAGTAAACAAGTTATACAACGGGCACCATGACTGCTTACAAAACCCCAGCTGGCTTCTTGACTTAACACAGCTGGGAGTGGTGGCCCAGACCTCTTCAGGGTTCCCAGTGCTGCCTGTGCTTTCTTGCCCCAGGGTGATGCTCAGAGCAACAGCAGGGCCAGACTCTCCCTGCCACCATAGTGCTCCCATCCCACTAGATGGGATCCGTGGGGGTAAGGAGCACTTTCCAGGTGGGCACACCTGTGTGTGCAAGCCTCTTGCAAGGGTGAGGATGGTGGTGTGCCCATAGACACACTGCAGTAGTAGCTCACAGCAATGCAAGCACACACACACAGACACACACAGCCTGCACCATGGTAGGAACATCCACTGGCAGCAGCTGCCCTGTGTCCAGCCCTGCTAGGGCACTGGCAGCATAGCACACAGCTTCCTGCCTCCCCTTCCCAGCCATCACTCCAATAAAGGGCTATAAAAAACCTCCAGCCAATTAACTGAATCTCTGGAGAGCGCTGAGTCCTGTCAGTGGAGCTGAGACAGCTTGGGGACATGCGGGCTCTGCGCTGCAGGGCAGACCCTGGTCACTGGGCAGCTGCCACCACCCCACAGAGCAGGGACCGATGGGGGCACTCACATGGTCTTACACAGGCACCCAGCTGATATCAACACCCTATGTGGGTGTGCACACACACACTAGTGAGTGCATACAGACCCCTCCTCCCCACCCTTGTGCACACCCCCCCAGCCAGCCACAAGCCCACAGAGGAGGGAGAAATTCCCAGGCCTGCAGGCTACCAGGTGTTACTGTCACCAAGGCACTAGGTGCATCACTCACCCTGCTACCACAATCTCGAAGACACCGTCGGCATCCAGGTCAGTGATGGCCACGCCATAGTTGAGCTGTGTGGGATTGCTCTCGTAGTCAGGTGGGAGGATGCGTTGGGTGACGGCTGCAAACATGGGCTCACTGCGCTGGGAACCCTCGCTGAGCCACACCAGCGCCAGCAGGCACAGCACCAGCATCCTGGACACCTGGGAGAGACCTGCAGCCTGTCAGCTCCAGAAGGAGACCCTGCTCCATGATGCCCAAGCAGCCCCACTGCATGGGAGACGCTCTCTTTCCACCCCTTGCCACACCACCTGCCTCTTGACCCTTGGGTACTGGCCACAGCTCTAGCATCCCCACGCATGGACCCTCCTGGGTGCTGTTCATCCTCAGGTCTTCCCCAGGACAAGATCATACTCCAGTGAGCTGTGACTGAGGAGGAGTCCAACCTTGGGAGCCCATCCCATGGGAGGGACTGGGGTGCTGACAAAAGCTGGGCTCAGCCCCAGCTTGTTCTGCCCCAAGGGGCCACTGGCATCTAGGGTCCTGGCAAGTCACAATGCCAGTCACTGTTCCTTTGGCAGGACCAGAGTAAGTAGGCCTTCAGTGGGCTGAGGAGTTTGTCCTCTGTCCAGCTGGTCTTCCAGAGCTGAGAAAGGCCACAGGGAGAGCATGGGGATACTCTGCCAGGTGACTCCTATGTGCCTCAGTTTCCCCACCCTTCTGGCACTGTTCCTCCCAGGGCCTCTGCAGCATGTTCTCCTTCCACCCTGAACCAGGGAAGGTTTCTGCACAGGGCTGTAGCTGTAGAAAGGAGATGCTGGAAGAATGGGAGACTGGGAGGAGAGGCTCAATTAACCTGGACTGCGGAGGATGGTGCCTGCCAGCACTGCTGGCAAGGCTGCGGAGATTTTGGAGCTGGCTCTGACCTGGCTGTAGCATGGGTGAGGAGAGGAGCAAAGTGGCACACAGGAGGGGCCACCCCTCACCCCAGGCCAGGCAATCTTCTCCAGAGAAGACAAGCCCAGCAACTGAGCTATGTGTTCCCAGGCTATGGGCATGAATCTACATGCCAGTGCTCCAGCTGGTAGAAAAAACGGCCTGTCTCACTCTTGCAAACTGGAGGGATGGCTGGGGCACCTGGTCACCAAGGTGGGTGACACTGCTTCATGTGACTGTGCCAATCCCCTGGGCAGGGCTGCCCTCCCCAATCAAGAACAAATCCCCCTGCAAAACTGGCATGGGTACAGGGGTGAATGGCCCCCCCTGTAAGGGCAATCCCATGCCCTTGGACTCTGACAGCAAGCAAAGGAAGCTGTAGGATACCACATATGTCCAGCTTGGAGCGGGGAAGGTGCACAAGATTTAGATCCTGGAAGACCCACCAGGTTGTGGGAAATAGCCTGCTGCTGCCTTCCCTGGGGATGGGAATGGTCCCAAAGCTCTCTGGGGAGCCAGGATTCCCTGCAACAACCAAACAGCTTCCAGACCCACCTGGATGGGCATTAAGGTACTGTCCTCCAGCTGCAGAGGAAGCCTTGACACTACTGCCTAGCACACCCAGAGCCCTGTGTCCCCTTGCACGAGTCCTGCTCCCCTTTCCTCTCCAATCCTATCTATATCCCAGACACAGCTGCAAAGGTGGATGTGTGTATTCTCCCCAGCTCTACCCTGTGCTGCTCCTATTCCTTTCCTGGCATGACCCACACCCTCCCATAGACCCAGGTGCAGCCAGCTGCCCTCTGGTACTGTGCTCTCCACCACCCAGCCAGACTTATGGCACTGCCCATTACCCTGCCATACTCTCGGAAGCAGCTCTCCAGTGGCAGGAACCTGGTTGCAGGTGTCCCATTCAAGGCACATGTGATGGGGACAGGGTTGTTTGGGTTGTGCAGGGTTGGAACAGTCCCTGGGTCACTCTGCAGTGACAGTGAGGGAGGGGGAGCCTTTGCCACAGCCCCGCACAGGGCTCACGTAAGTACAGGTGGGGGAGAGCCGCCCGCATTGCGGACATATGGGTGCAGGGATGCCACATGAGTCCCTGGCCCTGCAGGGCAGCACTGCCTCACTCCCAGCTACAGCCAGGCAATGGGTGGCTGTCCCCAGGCTAACGGCAGGGCTCTCCCTGTCTTTCCCACCTCCAGCTCCTACTTCCCACACCTTGGCCTCTTCCCCAAGTGCCCCCCTGCCTCATGCAGCTGCAGCTGAAATCCTTCCAAGTTGGATGGAGATTTTCCAGGAGGAAACAAAGTTCCTGATTGAAGACAAAAGGCTTTTCCCAGTGGATCCGGTGTTTGGTGCCATGGGGAAGGCATGTACAGCCTAGAGCCAGGCCATTTTGGGAAGGGGGAGGGAGGAAGGCTCAGGTTCTACATGGCAGATGCAAAAAGGCCTCATGGTTCCCAGCATCCTGCTGATAGCATCGAGGCCCCAGCGTGAAGCTCCACCCGAGGTTTGAGGCTATGAGGTTCTGCTTGTATACATGGCAGTCCTCAATCTATCTTGTCCCAGCAGACCCACATCCTGGCTTATGTTGTGGCATCTGGTGGCAAGGTCACTCCAGGAGCTGAGGTCACCCCAGGGTGCCTGTTCAGTATGGCTAAACCTGGTGACATGAAGCCAAGATGCCAGGAAGGGGTAGAAGTAGTGGGAGGATGCCACAGGCACTCATGCAGGGTGCAACAAGGCAGCACAGGGGCAGGGTGCTGGCCCCATGGCAGGATGGAATGTGTAGGGCTCATCTGTCCCTACACATTGCTGTAGCTGACAGTGCCCTGTGGGGAGAGTGGGATAGGACTGGAAAGGGAGCCATGGGGCCAGCAGGTGATTATGCCCCAGACGCCACTCCAGGGCTCCTCATTGTACCCATATGCACATTCCCAGCCCCTAGTCCACATCATGGGGAGGGTGGGAGCTAGATCTTTGTGCAGCCACACCATCCTGCGTACCATTGTGACACTACTGCCCTCCACATCACACACCCCAGTGATGTCATGCTCCACCGCTGCAGTGACATCCCATCCTGGGCCACAGCCACCTCCAGCACCACTATGACATTTCTTGACATCATGCAGCAAGGGCCTCATGGCACCCCAAGGCAGTGACAACATGGTCACAATCACAGCATCTCATGCCATCATGCTGCACTTGCCCCAGTAACATCATATTCCCATTCCTGCCATTCCCAGACTGCTGTACCTGCCAGGAGGCATCCCACAGACCCAGCAGCCCTACTCCTGCAGGAACTGGGCTGCCCAGGAGTTCCAACAGTGCCCCCTCCATAGCACCTCAGCCCAAGCAGTACCTCTGCTCCAGGCAAAGCCCGTGAGCTCAGGTCCTGCTGCCATGTCTGCTCTCTGCTGAGAGTCTGTCCCTCCTATGCAGGACTCAGTGCCGGACCTGGCAGGCTGGGGCTCAGCCAGCAGAAGCTAATGCAGTGTGGAGATGAGCAGTCACCTTAGTCTCTGACTGAGCCCAAAGGGACACCAGATCCTTGGGGTACTCAGACCTGCCAGCACACAGCCAGCCCCCTCTGACCCAGGTAGGTACATGGCTGGACCCCTCTGCCCACTGCCCCCAGCTCCTCCTCAGGCTTAGACACCACCAAGCACAAGTGCCTCTACAAGGAGGGGCTGTCCCTTACTG